AAGTGAGTAGAGATACTAGCTGACCCATAATCACTGATCCACAAATGACCATCAGTGACCCATAGTCACTGATCCACAAATACCAAAATAAGAGAGCTCTGAAAACACATATTAAAAAAAATGGTATTAACTCATTTAGTGCCAAATCCTGAACTGAACTGAAAAGAAATTTAATAACAATTTTCATTTCCCTTATTGCCAATTCTAGTTGAATTACTATTAGTTTCACAACATATTAATAGATTTTGCTTTATTTTACAATTATTACCTCACTCAAGAGAGATTAGAGTCTATCTGAAGTTAGCTGATGTTCACCAGCACTGTTTTTGTTTCATTTATTAAACTGGGTGCCTCATCCAATTCTGGGCTTGGGCATAGGATTGGGATCAGCATAAACAGACAAACAATGCTGGAGGAAAGAAAAAACAATAAAGCTTTTGGTAATCAAAATTAAGATCTGGAGGATGATCAACCACATGCCTACACAGAATATTTGAGCTCTGGAGATGCTCGAGAGGCCAGAGACCTAGACTGAGTTACAGTTTTTTTAAAAGGAGATTAAAATTCCCTGCATTGTCACTGTGCTCAAGGAACAAAGCATATAACTAGTCTTTGCTTACAGATGTATCTTGAAGATTTATTTCTCACTGGGATAGGAGAACAGAAACCCAAACTAGGGAACCGTTTAAGAATAATGATGAATATTCTGCAGTCTTTTAAGGGTGAAGCCACAAAAACCTGACAAAGTCTCAATCAAAAGCCTAAGAGCCCAGGGGCGCCTGGGTGGCGCAGTCGGTTAAGCGTCCGACTTCAGCCAGGTCACGATCTCGCGGTCCGTGAGTTCGAGCCCCGCGTCGGGCTCTGGGCTGATGGCTCAGAGCCTGGAGCCTGTTTCCGATTCTGTGTCTCCCTCTCTCTCTGCCCCTCCCCCGTTCATGCTCTGTCTCTCTCTGTCCCAAAAATAAATAAAAAAAAAACGTTGAAAAAAAAATTTAAAAAAAAAAAAAAAAAGCCTAAGAGCCCATGCTCAACAGACAGGAACGAAGCAGAGATATTCCAAGTATCCTCAAATTTCCATCTAGATGTGTTCATGTTTGGATTGAAATGATATCCTTGTGCTATCTGTATAACAGAGGAGTGAGGGAATCTTTCCTGGTAAAAAAAGAAAAAAACACGTTCTGGATTCTCTACAGTGACTTTATTTTTCTCAAGGATTTTTAAAGTTTATTTACTTATTTTTGAGAGAGAAAGAGAGAGAGAGAGGTGAAGAGAGAGAGAGAGAAAGCATGAGTGGAAGAGGGGCAGAAAGAGAGGGAGAGAGAATCCTAAGCAGGCTCTGTGCTGTTGGAGCAGAGCCTGATGCCGGGCTTGATCTCACAAACCATGAGATCACGCACGACCTGAGCCAAATCAAGAGTTGGATGCTTAACCCACTGAGCCACCCAGGTGCCCCTATCGTAACTTTAAGTTTACAGTTTAGCATACATAAAAACTACTAGACATTCAAATAGACCAAAATGACAAATATTGTAGAGAAAATTAACAGTAAGAGCAAATGTGAAAGTGGTTAAGAGTTTTGAGTTAGCAAAAAAATGGATAAAACTGTGCCTTATACAGTGAAAAGGATATATGAAATTAAGGTGAAAATAGATAAAAAGACGAATTTTACAAGAAATTTGGCAACTTTAGAATAAGCATCTTTAGCCACATTCTATAATGGAAGAATTCAATATTAGAAATTAGCTAAAGATACAGAATTAACAGCAGATCAACACACAAAAAATATTTAGATAAAGAAATAAATAAACTGAAGAAACAAAAGAAAAAATACAGTAGGAAGAAAATGTAGAAATGCAAGAGGGAATTCAAAGAGATTATTAATAAAAACAGATGTGAAAACCAATTCAAGGTGATTAAACCTACTGCAGGATAAATCCAAAGAAAACCACATTTTAGTATATCATAGCAAAATTACTGAAAATCAAAGGCTTTTTCAAATCATAAAAATAGCTAAACGTAAAGGTACATCGTTTCAAATAAGCAATAATAACACTATCACTTAAGAGAACAATGAGAATGAAGAGACATTTGAAAAATACTCTTAAACACTGAGGGTGAAAAGAATGGCACATTTAAAGTCGGAGAATTTTAAAGATAAAAGATATTATAGATGTTATGCCAATAAATGTAATAAAGTCTTTGTGAGACTGCTCAAAAAAAAGGCACTGGAAATTACTTCTATGTGGTTTTTAACAAGATATTTGATTCTTAGTCCACTGTCATTTTGTTATTTTTGTTATTTTCAGCACAACCGTCAGATCAAAATGGAATACTTTAAAAAATTTAAACGGAGCAAGAAATTGAAAAATATACAAATTGATAACCTAAGTACTTATGATCACCAACATGCATTACTACCAGAGGGAAAAAATTTAAAAGTGTAGTCACAATGAAGGGAAATATTTTTAACTAATACAATTCATAAGGAATTAACAAGAAAAGTAAGTCATACAGTCAGTAAAAAAAAAAAAAAAAAAAAAAAAAAAAAAAAAAAAAAAAAAAAAAAAAAGGAGAAAATCACAGAAGAAAATCAACAAAAGATTTGAACAGATATATGACAAAACAGGTTGTGGCAAATGGTCATAAGTGTGTGACAGGTTGTTCAAATGTGTTAGTGATCAGAGCACTGAAAATTAAAACCCACCCCTTAAATTATCAGAAAAAAATTAAAAATAAAAAATATATAAAATGAACTTTAGGTTTTGGTGGAGTTTGAACTTCTGGAACACTTATCCATTGTGGTGGGAATATAAACTAGCACTGCCTGGCATATTCTAACTATCTCCTATCTCATGACCTAGCAATTCAACTTTAACACAAGATATATAACTTAGTATTGGAAGAGTTCCAGATATGCTCATAGACATGCATTGTTTATAAAGGCATAAAACTACAAACAGGTTATAAGTCATGAAATGGAAATCGCAAAAATAAAAGAGATAAATGCATTGTTATATATGCTCATTCAACAAATTTGAACAGGTGCCTGGATGAATGGAATGAGAAAGCTTAGCATATATCTTACGTTAAAAGCCTTTCAAGCAGAAGGAATAGCTAAAGTAAAGGTAAAAAATGTGCACTTGATATATTGAGGATCTACAAAGTAGCCAGAGAATTACAGCAGAGTAGGAGGGGTGAAAAGGTAGAAGGGCAGGTCAAAGAGGTAATGAAGAAGAGAAAGTTCATATAAATCTATGTGGTTATTCTCAGAAGGGATTCCACTGCATAGTTTTGAGCAATACTGTGGAATTATCTGATTTAAGTTTTAGCAGGATCATTTCAAGACAAAGTTATAGTAGGATAATTTACAAGCATGTAAATATGTTTCCAATGAAATTATTTCTACAGCAATGCAACAATTTTGTTAGGAGATAATAGAAACAACGCAGGGTAGAGGCCTACAACAGTGACATTGAAAAGATGGTCAAATTATGAATGAAGTTGATTAACAAATATGCAATATGAAGACTTCAAATGGATCAAGATATTTAGGCTTATTATCATTCTATTTTCTGAACAAATAAACTCTTGAAATGTCAAGGACTTAGCACTTGTACATTTCCTGCACACATATCAATCTGCTGTGCATTTTTTTTTTTTGATCAGGTGAATCACACCAAAACAACAAAGTAGGGATCCCAGCTCCTTCCATTAAATGATTCTGCACTCTTTACACATGGTCTGAGGATTGTCTCCACACCAGCCACCAGAACACAATAGGTCATAGCAGATTTTAAGTGGTATTCATTTTCAGTCAAGGATGTACTGTGATATACATCACTTTTACACATAGTCTCATGGCTAGAATTAGTAACATGTTCTCATCTAACACAGTAGAAACTGGGAAAAAATATCAAAAAAAAAGGAATGAGCTTTGTTTGTCACCTTGTTACTGACTGAATAAAAGTGTAATTTACTGAGAAGAATGCAGATGGAACTCGTCTTTTGTGGGAAGAAATTGGCAATTCCACTTTAGATATGTGAAGCTGTGGAAACATTTCAACATTTTGGTTGCCTGAGTGGAGATATTGATAAGGTACATGCATGTGTGAATCTGTAGGTCAAGGAGTAACCTAGCCGGCTCATTAAATTGGGGCATAGCTGGAACACAAATGATACTTTAAATCACCTACAGAGTGAGCAGTAGAAGAGACAGGAACTGAGGATGACATCCTGATATGCTTTCATGTTTCAATCTAAGAAAATGAGGGTAAATCAACAAACAAGTCTGTGATAAGGAGAGGTTGGTGAGGTCACTCCAACTCCCCCCCTTCTTTTAATTTTGTCAGTGAAATGAAAAGCAATGTCATGTGTTGAGATTAAAGTTCAAGGAGGAAGCATCAGAAGAGAGGAGTCTGAATAGAAAACAAAAAAGGAAGTGGACTTGTGGAAATACAATAGGATTGGTAGGCATCAGTAAGGGCATAATTGATGTTAGAGTTTCTAGATTTAAAGTAAGACTAGGGGCACCTGGGTGGCTCAGTTGGTTAAGCCTCTGACTTCACCTCAGGTCATGATCTCATGGCTCATGAGTTCAAGCCCTGCATCAGGCTCTGTGCTGACAGCTCAGAGCCTGGAGCCTGCTTCAGATTCTGTGTCTCCCTCTCTCTCTGCCCCTCCCCTGCTTGTGCTCTGTCTCTCTCTCCTTCAAAAATAAATACACATTAAAACATTTTTTTAAAAAATAAAGTAAGACTATTGAAGGTTTCATATTTGCTTTACCGCCCACATTTGGCTGTCCTACTGTAGACATGAATTGGCCTTTTTCAGACTTGCATCATGAAGATAGTGCTTTGTGGTAAATGAGGTTTTTATAATGTAAGTAAGGTTTCATAATGATGAAATATGGGGTGTAAGTAGTAAGAAGACAATTTAGATGTTGAAGGGTCTTAACTTTTAAGTAGGGGATAGGATGTTGAAAGATAAATGTAGAGGACAATAAAAGGATGATAGGATTGATAAAGTGTGGGTGTCATCTTATGCAGGGCCATGCTAATCTTCTCTGTATCATTCCAATTTTAGTATATTTGCTGCTGAAGTGAGCACAGGATGAGAAGGTTTAAAACTTTATTGCTATACATAAATGATGATGAGTAAATAAAAAATTATACTTTCTTCATGATGAAATTATTTAACATTATGATATCTTATTTCTTTCCACATTGATCAATAGATTAAATGTAATCCCTATTACAGTAATAGGAAGATTTTACTGAGGACCTCAACAATTTACCCGAGAAATTTTATAGATGTGTAAAGTTCATGAATAATGATTATCACAAAATAATAGTAAAAACAATATAGTCCTATCGGTGACATTAACAATGAACCAGTATTGAAAGTTCAGTACTAGATAAATGTACATATAAGAAATTGTAATATGGTAAAAGTGACACCACATGTCAGTGGGAAACAGATGAATTTTTACTAAATCATTTGGGAAGAAAAGTTATCATTTAGGACAAAAATTATTTACAGAAAACTAGGGCTAAACATTTATGCTATGTTATATACAAAACATACACCCCACTGACTGTCAAAATGTGAAGGAAAAAACTGTTAGTGTAATCAAAGAAAATTCAGACAATTAATTATTACATAAGGATAGAGATTCATATATTAAACAAATCCACAAAGAATATATCATAAGTAAAATCATGAACTTGACTACATACACACAAAATAGGAATTTCTGTTCAAAGACAGCTTTCTTGAGTAAGGGTACGGTAACAGTATGAGAAAACATTTGTGCCATATAAATCTGAAAATGAATTAATCTTTGGAATATAAAAGTTGTCCTCCATATACCCAAAGTAAATATTACAAAATTAGGAATATTAAATAAACAGGAAATCCACTAGTGGGAAAATCTGTAGAGCTGGTAAGTCCATTGCTATTTTAGGAAATGAATGTTTCATATATTGCTTGCAAGTCTCTAGAACGATATAGCCATTCTGGAGGTCAACCTCAGAAGAATGTAATGAACTAAGGCAAATATTCACTCTAGGATTGAGTAACTCATCCTGCACATATATGAATGGAAATGCTTGCCCTCGTCCACAAGGAATATTTGTGGAGATTTTCCTTTTATGTAGTTTTGTGACATTGATTATTGGAAATAATGTGCATCCCCGCAGTGGGAGGAAGCAGGTAAAATGTGATTAATGCATACAAAGCAACACTCTTAGCAATTATAAGCGGTTAATTTATAAAAAGTGCAACATGGTTGGAGTACATAATTGTACATACATTACATAATGCTATGTAACATAATGCTTAGTGAAAAAATGAAAAATGTTTTCCAACATATAAAGTAAAATTTAGAATCCTATATATTTAAAATGATACAGACATATTGTAAAATATATATCAAACACATTGAAGTATATACTTTGGAGAAGAGAGAAGCAGTAATGTGATCAACAGGAAATTAATAAAAGAAAACTGTTAGAGCATACTTGCACAGTCAATGGTAGTATAACATTAATGTACATGTTTGACATCTAAATAAAGAAGCCTATGATACATACATCATTTTTACTAATTTTGGCTTCAGTTTCTAGACAAAACTGTACTTTCTGTCTTTGCCTTATGTGTAGAATATTGTATTTCTAGAGAACTTTACAAGGATATATGTACATTTGAACTAAAATTGTAGATTTTCTGAAGAGCACTATATTAGTAAGAACATAATTTACAAGTTTTCTTGTTATGCAAGTAAGTTATTTTTCTTGCCTCATAGCTACATTACAAGTCTTGTTTGGCTTCTTTGTAACTTTGAAACAATATGAATAAAATTTCAATACTATTTTGAAAGAATTTCAAATGTCTTCTTTTTTTAGCTTTTAGTTTATTATAGAAAATGTATTTTAAAAATAAAGCACTTGCGGGACACCTGGGAGGCTCAGTCGGTTGAGCATCCGGCTCTTGATTTTGGCTCAGGTCATGATCGCAGGGTCCTGGGATGGACCCCCACATTGGGCTCTGTGCTGACAGTGTGGAGTCTGCTTGGGATTCTCTCTCTCTGTCTGTCGCTCTCTGCCCCTCTCCTCTGCCCACACACACACACTCTCTCTCTCTCTCTCTCTCTCTCTCTGAAAATGAAATAAATCTAAAAAAAACAAGTACTTTCCCTTTGATGTTTCGTTTAAATATGAGAGTCTGAGGCAGAAAGTACAAGAAGCATATCCCGTGATTTCATATTTAATTCAAATTCTTTTTAATCCTTAGTCTTGTAACAGTTCCCTGAAAAAACAGTGGATTTATTATGAATTCAACAAATCAGTATCTTTGCGAACACTAGTTTCTATTGTACTCCTAATAGTATTAAGTTGTTCCTACCAATAGAAATATGATTTTAATTAAGCATAAACTATATTTTCTTCTCTAGAATTAATAAAATTTAACTATATGTATATTGGTGGATTTCATTGTAAAGTTAATATTTAGAAATATTCCACTATGTGTTTTTCACTTAGTTTGACCCTGAATAATGCAAGCTAACTAGCACTTTTCTTTTCCACTTTCAGATTGCTTTTTCTCTTGTCTAGAACTTGAATTTAGAAATGGCAGAATCTCAATAGAGGTAGAGGGTAATTTCCCACAAGACCTGGCTAATTTATAGCTTTCAACACACCAATGACCCCTACAATTTGGCAGTTGCTTCATTAATTCCTCTACACCTGCTCCATTTATCTTGCAAAAAAAAAAAAAAAAAAAAAAAAAAAAAAAAAAAAAAAAGACAGATAAAAGACACAATCCTCTTTCACTGCAGCTATTTGTGAAGAAAAGTCCTTCATGTCTTTCTGAAGTAAATTGTAACCTGCATTATGGAGAACAAAACGACGGTAGCGTCAGATGAATGTTCCCAGTTTGTCACTGGGATGAAGAAGGAAAGTTTGAACAGCCACATATTTTTGGAAGAAGTTTTTTTCTGCTCTTTGAAATGTTATGGCCATTCAAAGACTTCAGTTTTCACCAGGATCTGCCATCTGAGACATAAAATTTTAGAATTAAAAAAATAAAAATAAAAATAGTCTGAGATATTTTTAAAAATAATGTGTTCTTATAGTTAATGATAAATTATATAGGCTATCTCTTTCTCTCTCTCTCTCTCTCTCTCTCTCTCTCTCTCTCTATCATTTATCATCTCTCATCTGTATCATCTATTATCAAATGAAAAAGACCATTTTAAGCTACCTATATTTAATACATTTATAAGAACAAGCATTTTATTTCCATGGAATATAAATGGTAATGTGAGTACTTCTAGCAGCATGGAAAATGTACTTTCATCAACAAGGAGTTTCATTGATTAAAAATAAAACATTTTAGTGTCAAACTTAGGAAAGCATCTATTTAACTGGTTAACTAAGCAAGCACTTTTTTCCTTTCTTTTTTTGCAGTTTTTTCTATCGTTATGAATTTCATAAAAACAAATATAATTTGTATTTTTGTTCCTCTTTTAAGGTAAATGGTTTGAATTATTGGTGTCTAGCAGGTGGCGACATTTTAAAAAATAATATAATTCATAAAATATACTAAGGAAAGCTTTTGAGAATTTGCATTATTAACATATATTAAAGGTAGATATACACTTGAATTAGATATGGGTTCCCTCTTCAGTATTTGTATTTTCTATTATAAATTATTGAGGGTTGGTGATCACTGCAAAGACTGGATGTTTAATTCTTTGGTAAGATCCCCATGCCACTATTGCCAGGAGAAAGGTTTAACTTACACAGAACTACTTCTATTCTTGTGTTAACTGTATGTATCAAATATGGAGCTCACAAATTCACACCATTGTTATCAACAGAGGCTGAATAAAAACAGAATAGTAAATCATATCACCTCTATAGTCGTCAAAATGGGAACAACTGAAAATCATGCTACACGTGATACAGCCTTGCGGTGTTTATATAGTCAGTCATATTATTTAGTTATAAGAATTATAACATAAAACATAATGTTTCAGATGCCACAAATATTTATGGCATATGTGACTTAAAAAATAACCCATCAACAAGTATTAGTAAATAACATAAGAAAATATTTAAACATAGCATATATAGACATGTCTAGATACTGCATTACTCTCTCTTTACTTTTTATTAATTCAAACTTACTTCCTAATTCAAATTAAAATATACTTCTAACTGTGGTGGATATCAACAGAAATGGAAATCTGAGAATTCTGCTTCTTTCATATGCGAAGTATAATAAGACATTGATACAACTGTTGGCAAGATGGTGTAACACTTTGTGATTTAGATTTATGTGGGACTGGGATCCTTCTTCAGAAATAATTACAACTGGGTTTATAATTATTTATAAAATAATGAACATTTAATGTAGTTATTTCAAAATGCCATTTACTACTTAAGGTCATTTCTATTAAAATGTTCATAAAATTATTTTTGGCTACAAGAAAGTATACACTTGGCTAATAAATTTCATTTTTTTCTATTTGGAAGTCACTTTAAATATAACAATTGTACAAAGAAAAGTAAAATTTAAAACAAATAAACAACTCCTCCAGGAACATTGAGCTACTAGTGGACCAGAATCATGATTAAAATGCATAATCTAGAACAATGACTAGAATCTCAGTGTATTAATTACCTATTACTGTGTAGCAAATTATCCCCATACTTAATGGTTGATATCTGGAAGGCAAAACTTCATTTCTTCCATTTGAATTTGAGAATTTTCTCAATATTTCTTGACACTTAACAGTTCTATATGTAATTAGTTCTATATGTAATATGAATTCTGTATGTAACTAGTTCTATATGTAATATGTAGTTCTATATGTAATATGTAGTTCTATATGTAATTAGTTCTATATGTAATATGAATTCTATATGTAATTAGTTCTATATGTAATATGTAATTCTTTTCTTTTTTTTAGAGTATCTAATTTCTTCTCGCCTCATTTTATTTGACCTGTTCATGCCTGTGTGTGTGTGTGTGTGTGTGTGTGTGTGTGTGTGTGTGTCTGAGTGCTTGTGTTCCTTGTGTATTTTGAAATTTTTATGTGACAG